GGGATGCAGTGCAGGATGAGGCGTGGGATGCAGTGCGGGATGCAGTGCGGGACACGGAGAGGGATGCGGCGCGGGCCGCGGCGCTCACGCAGCCCCCGCAGCGCCGGCGCACCTCGCCGACGGGATGCACAAGAAGAAGCACACGCGTCCCACCTTCACGGGCCACCAGATCTTCGCGCTGGAGAAGACCTTCGAGCAGACCAAGTACCTGGCGGGCCCGGAGCGCGCCCGGCTCGCCTATTCCCTCGGCATGACGGAGTCRCAGGTGAAGGTGAGTGCGCTCCGGAGGCGCCGGCCGGCTCCGGGCGCTGCCGCTCACGGTGCCGCTGCCGCGCTCCAGGTCTGGTTCCAGAACCGTCGCACCAAGTGGAGGAAGAAGAGCGCCCTGGAGCCTTCATCCTCCTCGCAGCGGGYGGGGGGCGGCGAGCGGGCGGCCTCGGAGCCCGAGGACGACGAGTACAACAAGCCGCTGGATCCCGACTCGGACGACGAGAAGATCCGGCTGCTGCTGCGGAAGCACCGCGCCGCCTTCTCCGTGCTGGGCCTGGGCGCCCACAGCGGCTGAGCGCGGCCCGGCGCCCGCCGCGGCCACCGCGCGCGCGGGGGGACGTTCCCGCTCCGGGGGAGCCAGTCCTGCTCCTGGGGACCCAGTCCTGGTCCTGGGAGCCAGTCCTGGTCCTGGGATCCACTCCTGCTCCTGGGGACCCAGTCCTGGCCCTGGGAGCCAGTCCTGGCCCTGGGAGCCAGTCCTGGTCCTGAGGAGCCAGTCCTGGTCCTGAGGAGCCAGTCCTAGTCCTGGGAGCCAGTCCTGGTCCTGAGGAGCAAATCCTAGTCCTGGGATCCACTCCTGCTCCTGGGGACCCATTCCTGGTCCTGGGAGCCATTCCGAGTCCTGGGAGCCAGTCCTGCTCCTGGGGACCCAATCCTGCTCCTGGGAGCCAGTCCTGGTCCTGAGGAGCAAATCCTAGTCTTGGGATCCACTCCTACTCCTGGGGACCCAGTCCTGGTCCTGGGAGCTAGTCCTGGCCCTGAGGAGCCAGTCCTGGCCCTGGGGACCCAGTCCTGGTCCTGGGGACCCATTCCTGGTCCTGGGGACCCAATCCTAGTCCTGAGGAGCCGTTCCTGGTCCTGAGGAACCATTCCTGGTCCTGGGCACCCAATCTTGGCCCTGGGAGCCAGTCCTGGTCCTGAGGAGCCATTCCTGGTCCTGGGAGCCAGTCCTGGTCCCAGGGGACGTCTCTGGTCCCAGGGAATCGTCCCTGATCCTGGGAAGCCATCCATGACCCCGGGATCCAGCCTTGGCCCTGGGGAGCCATCCCTGGCCCCAGGAGACATCTCTCGTCCTGGGGAGGTATCCCTGATCCTGGAGAGCTGTTCGTGATCCCAGGAGCCGTCCCTGATCCCGGGGAGCTCTCCCTGATCCCGGGATTCATCCTTGGTCCTGGGGAGATAGTCCTGGTCCTGGGGAGCCCTCCCTGATCCTGGGAGCCCTCCCTGATCTCTGGGCATCCCCGGTCCCAGAAACCCTCCTTGGTCCCGAGGAGCAATCAGGAATCCCGGGAGCCACCTCCGGCGCTGGGCAACAAGCGCAAATCCCGGGGGCCCTTCCCAATCCTGCTGAGCCCTCCCCGCTCCAACGGAGGCTCCCGGGGGCGCCGCGCGCTCGCCCCGGCAGCACGGCCGAAATAAAGGTGCCGTCCGCATCCGAGTGCCCGCTTTCATGGAGGGGATCRGGGGGGACGGCTCGAGGGGGCAGCGCCGCGGGGCCCCCGGTTCCAAAGTCCCTCGGCGGCGCCTCCCGCGGGAGCCGATTAGCGGCGAATAAATATCATTAATCTCRGCGGCCCGTTCACCTGTCGGGGCCGCGCGATTGATGCCGCCTCCACAGCGCCGGTGTTTGCGCCCGGAGCGGGGCTGCCCACGGCGCCGCTGCCGCCTTGGAGCCAGGCGGGACAGGCATCCCGGCACCGGGAATCCCAGCGCGGCGCCCGCGAATCCCCCGGAGGACAGAGCCCACTCCCGTTCCCAGGCGCTGCCGGATCCCGTGGGATCCCGTCCCSATTCCCGGCGGCGCGGGCGGGAGAAGGGCCGAGCCGCCGGCGGGATATTTTTTTTTGACATTTTCTCCGCTGCCCGGCGCCGCTGACAATTTTTAATGTACTAACCGCCTGGTCCAGTGAGCTGATTAATTGGCGCGGTGGCGATCAATACAAAACAGAAAATTAAAACAATTTTAAAGTGATTAAGTAGTTTAACACCTGTCCGATGCCACGTCAGGGCCGGGAGACAAATAAAGCAGGTGGCAAAGGGCCCGCGGCAGCCGCCGAGTGACAAATCGCAGCTGCGAGAGAGCAGGGTCCCGCTCGGCCCGGAGCGGCGGAGCTGGCGCTGGAGCAGGGGGAAATGTGGGACATTGGGCGCCCTTGCACTGAGCACCCTTGCACTGGGCACCCTTGCACTGGGCACCCTTGCACTGGGCACCCTTGAACTGGGCACCCTTGCACTGAGCACCCTTGCACTGGGCACCTTTGCACCGCGCACTTTGCAACACGCACCTTGCGCTGTGAAACGTTGCAGCAAGCACCTTGCACCTTTGCACGGGGGAGCTTTGCACCGGGGTGCACTCCCGCGCTGTGAAACGTTGCACCAAGCACCTTGCACCTTTGCACGGGGGAGCTTTGCACCGGGGTGCACTCCCGCGCTGTGAAACCTTGCACCGTGCACACTTGCACCCTTGCACGGGGGAGCTTTGCATTGGTGTGCACTCCCGCGCT